TTGATGTGAGTGTACACTATCTATGTAATGTGTTGCTGGCTGGGTAAAAATTGGGGGGGGGGTAAGTTAGGTTAATTTATGTTATTTATTCTCAGAGGAGGTACTGGGGATTGAACCCCGGGCCTTGTGCATGCTAAGCATGCGCTCTATCACTTAAGCTATACGCTCCCCCTATAAAGACCCGAACTCTGTCTTGCCCAGCTAGGAGGTTGAGCTGGGAGCCCCTTCATTTCGCCCGGCCTCAGTTTCCCCTCTGCGGAGGAGAGCTGCACTGCGCAGTCTAAACTGGATGGAGCAGATGGCTCCGGGTCCCTCGCTGTCCTAGTCTGTCCCACCCCGGCCCCTGCGGTGCAGTCCACGTAGGTCACGTGAACGGGGCCCAGGGGGAGTTAGACCAGCCCAGGGAAACTCCGGCGGAGAAAACCGCCGCAAGGCTGCAAACCCCGCAGACAGGCGCTGACTCGGCGGCCGTTGCCAGGCCCGGAGCCGGTTGCCAGGGAGGCGCCGGCCTCCCAGCGCCGGGAGATGCCTCCCTCTGCGCGGGCTGCCCGAGGGCGCAGCTCCGCCGCCGCGCCAGCCCCGCGCCCGCGCGACGACGCATGCGCGCCCCGGCCTCCGCCCGCCCTCGCCCTCGCCCCCGCCCGCGGGGGAGAACCGCGCGTGCGTCTAATTAACGCGGCTCAAGGGCACGAGGGATTAGGATGGGCTTTGCACGCAGACCGTTGAGTTGGAAGAGGCCTGTGAGATCATCCGTAGTCTAGACGACTAGGGCAGTGGTTTGCGGGTGCTTGCTGAAATTCCAGATTCCTGGGCCCCATCCCCAGCGACCTGGGTAAGAGCCAAGAATCTCCATTCTTAAGTCACCCCCAGATAATTCCGGTATAGGTGGTCCTCATTGGCTGAACCCGCCCTCGTGTCTCAAGGAATGTAGGAATTGGAGCATAGACGTGGAGAAGTGATCAGCCCAAGGTCGGGCAGAATTAGGTGGCAGAGCCCAGTCGTCTGTGCCTTGCTTCCCTCCTGCCTCCTTTTAAGAGTGAAGTTTAATCAGGACCAGGCAGGCCGGCTGACAGGCAGTTCATCCACACAGGTCTGGCTAACTTTAAGAACGAAAGTCCCTTTTTCAGAACGCCAAAGAACCCATCCAGCAACTCCACATCAAAGCTCCACCGCCTGCTCTGACCCCACGGTACTGCCTCCCTCTGCCTAGGGGTTGGAGCACCCTGGGAGGGCTGAGCCCACCCCCAGAACGATAGCGAGTTGGGGGGTATACACCCCTACCCCATACACACTCCTGTGTGGATGTAGCCATGTGGCATCACAGGCATCACCCAAGAATGTAAAACGCTCTTGTGTCTACATGCGTGGGTGTGCAGTTTGAGGGGCAGAGTATGAGTTTGGATTCTGGCTCGAGTTTAGGCACATTCAGTAACAGGCAGTGGCCCTGATCCAGGACAGCTGGATCACATGTGCTGACAGCCACTTTCAGTGGCCTGAACGGGGAAATGGACACTCCCTTGCATACCTTCACGAGACGCAGCTGGAGAAACGTCAGGGGTAAGCGGAGCTGAGATCCCCACACACACTCACGCCGCTCAGAGTCAGCGAGGCCCCCCAGAACAACGCCCGGGTGACAAAGCTCACCCGTGTGGAGAGAAGGGGGTTTGGGGCTGCAGCCCAATTTGCTTTTAGAATCCCCCCTCCCCTGGGAGGAGAGCAGCTAGCCAAGTAGTTCTGCCAGGCTTCCGAGAGACCAGGCAACTCCATTCCCCGCGATGGTCCTCAGGACCTCTCTGTGGGATGAGCATGGGTGTTCTCAAGGCCACTCCAACACTGTTGAGAAGGGTGTCCTCTTCCTGTTCCTCCCAAATCTCTGCCCTTCTCTGTCTGTCCGGTCCCAGCCTAGCTGTCTCAAAACCTCAAGGCTCAATTCTTTCTGAGAAAGCCAGGAACACAGCTGTGAGTCCCTTCCCTGTGGGGGAGGTCCAGTTCTCCCTCCTGGCTCCAGATGTAAAGGAACAGCTGTGAGAGTGGCGGGAAACCCAGCTGGCGGCTCAGCAGGGCCTGGGAAGATGGAGAACAAAGGCGGGTGGAGATAGGCAAACAGCAGGGCAATCACAATTCTGGAGACATGGGGGGATTTCATTCCCTGGCCCAGTTACTGGCTGACAGGCTGTGCCAATCCCTCAGATGCTGCCCATGCGCTGCCCATCCCCACTCTGGCTGCCAGGGCCACTGGCAGGACCATCTGTAAACTCCATTTTATGACCCCACTTACTCTGAGAAGGAAAACTTGGCTTTCTTTGTGTGACTCCACCCCTGTCCTCAAACGCACACCTCCTGGCTTGAGATTTTTGGAAACAAGGCTAGAGAGGGAGAGGAAGGGAGGTGGAAGAGGGTTCTGCCACTCCCATCTGGCATCCTCCTGCCCCTCCCTACCTCTGGAAAGTGAGCCAGAATGGAGACATCAGGCTAGGAGTCCAGCAGACAGGGCTGCTCTGGGTACCACTTGCTTGCCTGCTACACCAGGGTGATGGTGCATGACTTGGCACCAACCAAGCACTGTACTCAGTAAATAATTATTTCCTGGATGACCCTGGCCTGCTCCGGGCCCCACTGGCTCTCTAACCAGCCTGTCCACTGCCGGGAGCGGGGCCCACTGCTGTGTCCCACCACCCATCCATGCCTTCTTCAATTTGGAAAGACACAGGGTATCACGATCGCTTCTGTTTTAGGAAAAATAGTTTAATGATAAGTCTGTAACCTCTTTTCTAGATGTCTTCCCCTTCTGCATGGAACCCTTATGCCAGTGCTCTCCCCATGCCTGCTGGGAGGGAGCAGCCCCTCTCTGAAGGGCACCACCCACTCCGGGTACCGCCCGCTCCAGACGCCCTCACCCTCCTGGGAGGCCTGCTCTGGGTCTAGGCCCTAGAAGGTCCATCATTTTTGTTTTTATAAAAGTGGGCAGAACACTGTACGATGCCCCCTTTTCTGGATGCCATAGGACCAGCCCACAGCACGTTCCTACCCTTAATTAAATAGCCCATTAAATAATCTCCTGGCCCTGGCAGAGAGGGAGTGCCACAGCAGCCAGCCCCAGGCCTTGGCTGGGCTCCTGCTGCCCCGGGCCTCCACCCTGACTGGATCCGGCCTCCACCAGAGCAGCCAGGGGCACGGCCTCATCTCAGACCTGGCCTCCTCCCCACACAGGGGAGGGTGAGTCTGAGCAGGTCATGCTGGCACCAGGCACCCCCACAGCCACGGATGGGGGCCGCTCAGCACGGGAGCAGGACGGGTTCAGCTCCTGCCCAAGTCAGAAGTAAGTGAGGTTCTTGACCGCTCCAATCTCCAGCATCCGCTTGATGGCCAGGGCTTCCTGGGAGACATTGTGGCCTGACCCCTGCAGAGAGCCAAGGAAGCAAACTGAGGAACTCCTAGGCAGCTCCTGGCCGGCCCAGGACCCCACGGCCCCGGAGCTCCGTTCCCTGGGCGGCTCTCGGAAGGCAGACAGAACGCAGAGGACGCTGGCCTGGGAGTCCAGATGCCTTGGTTCCAGTTCTGACCCTCCATATGTCCTCACCGTGAGCCATCTCTGGGCCCCTGCCACCCCCTCACTCATCCGGGGATTCCAGGCCCACTCGCCCCACTGAGCTGACACGTGGGGGCCACTTACCGCCATGGACTTGAGCGTGATCTGCTCATAGTAGTGAATGGTCTGCTTCTTGTTGTGGGCGTCTGGGTAGCCGAAGCCGGCAATGTGCACCAAGTCGCAGAGGTGGAGGGCCAGGGTGATGGCCAGCAGGCCCGTGGTGGGCTTCTGAGGGACAAGGAGTGGGGAAGGCATTAGAGGGAGCCCCGCTCCTTCCACCACCTCTAGGCGGCGCTCTGCCGCAGAGCCTTCTGTCAGGCAGCCAGGAGCCATGCGGCGCTAGTGCAACTAAGGCACTGAACTCTTAATTTTATCCAATTTTAATTAAAATGTAAATAGCCGCACGTGCCTCCTGGCTACCATACTGCCTCGTACAACTCAACACATCTGGGGAGGGTCTGGGCCTCTAAGGGCGATGATGGCAACCAGGATGGCAAGAATGATGGTAGAACAGTAATGACACATACCGCTTTCTGAGCAGGTGCTGCGTGCCAGACGCTGTGTTAAGTGTTTCAGCCAGTGTAATGTATCATCTCATTCGGTCCTCACAAACACACTGACGTAGATGCTGTCATTAGCCCCATTTCACAGATAGGGAACTGAGGCTTACAACTGTTAAGCAAGTCACTCTGGGAGTGAAAAGGTTCTGCTCTCTGCGTTGGAGACCCTCACCTCTTTCAGGAGCCCTGGGGCTCTCACACTCCTGGGCTGTGCACCCTTCATGAGGGTGGGCTCTCCCCTTCTGTAAAATGGGGACAGCAGTACACACCCCATTCCCAGCGGCACGGGCTGCTATGAGGACCTCACTTCCTCCAACCCTAATTCATCCATGGGGATGGGCCACCTGATAGTCTCACCTCACAAACCGCCTTCCTCCGCTGGGGTGACTGCTCTCCAGACCGCTTTGGTGCCCACTCCCCGGACCTTGTCAGGCCCCCTAGTGCTGGGTTCCCCCCGGCGTCCCTTCTGGAGCCCTCCTCTCCCTCATCTGCCACTTCCTGCCCAGGACTTCCGTCTCAGTCCCGTTGCTTTTACTACCATGGTGTTATCAAGTTCAGACCTCTGCCAGACCACACATACATCAGCTCTAGCTGGCTCTGCTCGGACGTGGGCTCCTTAAACTCACCGCACTCTCCTCTCCCCATTTTCCCTTTGTTGCTTAAACATACTGCTATTCACCTGGTTGTCCCTGCTGGAAATCTAGAATTATCATAAATCTTTCATTTTCACTTTAAAATCATGCTGTAGCAGGAGAATTCTAAGAGGAACCTTGAGAGTGTGCGAAACCTATGAATATGATGAGACATGCTGTGTTATTCTGCTTTGTAGGGCACAGGACCATAAGATAGGGAGATAAATCCTGGTGGGCTTGACCTCATCTCACGTGTTTTACACCGGGGTCTAGAGAGCTGTCCTGGAGGAAGTCGGAGACACAAAAAGGATTTATCATGCGTAGCTGGTCTGACAATGGAGGGGGTCGCACAGCAAGATACGCGGGCAGCCGCTATGAGCTAAGGGTACCACCCCAGGCCGAAGCCAGTCGGGAAATGGGGACCTTGGACCTGGAACCACAAGGAGCTAAATCCTTCCAAGAATGAACTTGGAAGAAAATCTCCCCACTGAGCCTCCAGACAAGAACTCAGTCTGGCAGCCAACTTGACTTCAGCCTTGTATACCCTACGCAGAGATTCCAGCCATGCTGTGCTGGACTTCTGACCTCCAGAATATGAGCCAATACATGGATGTTGTTTTAAGCCGCTAAACTGGTGACTTGTTAGGAAGCAACAGGAAACCAACACAGATATCCAGTCCATCCGCTCCTTTCCTCTTCCCACTGCCAAGAGAGCCAGGCTCTGGCCTTAACTTTCTCCTGTGCTCTCTAGCCTCACTCCCTGCCATCAGGGGCATAAACTCCTCCTCGCTGGCCCCTCAGCATCACGTGCACAGGAACTCAGTACCAGGGAGTTGCTGGTCTTGCCAAATGCTCCCAAAAGGTCCAACTCCAGTACCACCTCCTCTAATGGTCCCACCTCCAGACAGCCCTGAACAGAGGTCAGCCCCTGCTCCGAGACCCCACAGCACTTGGGACAACTCTCTGCCAGAGCATTTTGTCATTCCAGGCTGCAACCTGTATGTTTATTCTGTTAGATTGAGTTTTCCTAGGGCAAAGAGCATGTCTTACTTCCCACACATGCAAACTTGGGGGCCGGCGCTGAGCGGTCACAGAAGCAGGCAGTCAGCACAGGAAGTTGAGTCAGAGTAAATGTTCAGTAAATAATAAAATCATGTATTCAAAATTTGGTAAGTATTTATTGAGTGTTCACTGTATACCAATCTCCATGATAGGCATATGACATGATTACCTCTTTAACTCTTAGAATGGCTTTAAAACGTCAGCATTAATATTATCTCCAGCACACAGATAAGAAAACCAAGGCTCTGCA